CTCCCAAGGCCCTGCTGCTGCAGGAGGGCTGGAGGCCAGCAGAGTGGAGGGGGCCCGGGGGTGGCTGCTCGGGGACCAGCCTGGGAAGCAGCGGGGCAGGATGCAGCTTGTTGGCAGCCTGCGGAGTTTTGCTGCTGCTCGCTCGGTGACATGGGGGTGGGAGAAGGCATGTTTTTTGTGGGGTGGGGGTGGAAGCATATTTGATGCCCTGGGGGAAGGGTGGGCAGCTTGTCAGGGAGGACAAAAGCATCCTTGCTAAGCCGGTCTCTGTTTCTGCCCACCCCGGGGTTCAGGCTCTGCCTTGTCAGCAGATTTTTGGCGGGTAGCCAGGCGAGGGGCTCCCTGTCAGGGCAGGCAAAGGCCCGGGTCCCCTCCCCGCTCCTCCTCCACCTTCCCCCATACCCGCAGTCGGTTCGGTGCACCTTCCCACGCCCTCGGACAGCAGTGGGGCAAGGCGGCACAGGCAGCCCGGCCACGGCTTTCTCTCCTCTTCCTGGGGACAGCAGCTCCTGCAATCCTGCAGAGCCCAAGGGATGCCCTTCCCAGGGAGATCTGGCCCGGGAGAAACTCGAAAGCAGGTGGTGAGAATAAGAAACACTTCAGTGGAGGATTGTTTTAAGACAAGACTCTTTCAAGCAAGCAGGAGAACAAAAGATGTTGAAAGCAGTGCCCAGCATCACAGTGTAGACGAGGTCCCTGCCGGAGCCCTGCGCTCCTGCTTCCCGGCCTGGTGGCAGCCAGCATGGCCGTGTCACCCGCCTCCGTGCTTCACCCTCCGTGCTCGCTCCTGCCGATAGGAACAGCGGGTGGAGGGACACGGAGGGAAGAGGTGGTGACAGGAAGACGGCAACAGCCACGCTGTTGTTATCTCCCCAAAGCCGGGAATGTGGCCCCACGCCCGGGCGGCTCTCGGCGGGCGCGGGGATGGATACATCCAACGTAGACGCCGACAGGGCTGGCAGCCAAGTGCCAGCAGCTTAAATTAAAAATCGAGGTAGCGAACATCTGAAGTGCTTAGGAAGTAAGTAAGTTCTGGAACAAAAGAGGAGGAAAGCCGAGCCGGCTGCTGTGGGAAGCAGGCTCTGACCCAGTTTAAAGCTGCGCCCACTGCCTCACTGCCGGTCCTCCTCCACCCACCCAGCCCAGGGCAGCCGAGCAGGGAGGCAGTGGCTCCCAGTGCTGGCGAGGGGTTGTACGGGTCAGGCCTTTCCCTGGCCCTGCAGCAGCTGGCTCAGTGCCCCGGGGCCCGCACAGAGGGGTGAGAGGTTTTTCAGTGCTGCCAAGATGAGCTCGACCTTCTCAAGTGGGAGGAAAGAAGAGAAAACTCGAGCAGGGCCTTCCGAGACAAAGCAGAAAGCCTCCCTTTAAAGTGCATCACATTCCTCCTCCTGCTGCCAGATGGGACACGGGAGGAACCGCAGTTCACATCGCCAGGGAGATTTCCAAGTCAGGGCAGGCCCACCGACTGATTGTTTTCAGGGGTTGGGGAGGAAAGAAATGATTTCCTTCCCGCTTGGCTCTGTCAAAGCCCCCCACATTGGGAGGTACGTTCAAGAAGGCAGCAGGGGTGAGGACATTCCGAGGAGGTGCCCTGCCCAGCAGCCCGGCCCCATGACAGGCGAGGGATGGTGCTCAGCCGGAGCCACCTTGCTAACAGAGGAGGTAAGTCTGCTGCAGAGCTGGGGACCTCGCCACTGCCAGCAGCGGCCACAGACCGCAGAGATCTGCGGGCAGAGGGACTGCAGGCAGCAGTGAAGCCAACCTCCCCAGAGCTGGCATAAGTGGGGAAACGCACAGGGGGAAGAGACCAAGGTCCAAGATAACAGCATCTGATCTCCATCCCCTTCCCAAAAAGAGCGCAGCAGCCAGCCAGATGTGCTCCAAGACCGGCCCCTCCTCGGCCTGCCCCGTTTATCCTCCATCAACAGACCCATCCAGGGGAGCATCACAGAACACCCATGTCAAGCGACACGCTGCAACACTGGCCATCTAACCACCGGGCCCAAGGGATCTCGGGGCCCCGGGCAGTGCGTTACCTTGCCCTGGCTCTCCCTGGGCCACATACCTGAGAAGCAGGGGATTTTCTCTGGTGAGAAGTGCAGGCTTGCTCTCCCTTTAACAGCTCAAACACAGCAGCTCATTTGCAGTTCCAGTTACCCATCCAACATCAGCTAGAGGCTACAAAAGGTATTTTAGTCTTCTGACTCAAGCGAGGATGTTTTTAAGCAGTCGTTGCACAAGGTCACCCATCTCCTGCGAGGAGCGCTAGCCAAGCCCAGCCCAGCCTGCTCCGTCCTGCCTCAGCTCCGGGCGAGGGGAGAGCCGCCGTCCCTGCCACGCGCCCAGAGTCCTCCTCGGGTGGGAACACGACACAGCCTCGCTTGGTGAGGATGGGGGCGCTGGGGAAGGGCCTCCCGCCCGCGGGCAGCAACGTCTGGTGACTCACACCTCGCAGATGATCACCGGGAAATCTACGTGAATGCGAGGGTGCTCTAGTTTCACTATGCCCTGGAAGAAGAGTCAGAGTGGTGAGCAGAGGAGACCACCAAGCAACAGCCCCAAGCCCTGCGAGTGACCCCGTCCGACAGAGGACACCACACCCTTGAGGAACTCAAGTCCGTTAAAGCCGCCATCATGCCAGGTATGCCTGGCCAGCAGCACACGAGCCGAAAGCACTTTGCCCTTTGAACTCGTCCCTGGAGAGCCAAGGGCGGCGCAACTGGCTGCCATGCATGGCAGGTTTGGAGCTCAGCAGGGCGAGAAAGGAGGGAGCTGCTCTGCCAGGCACTGCCCGTGCAGCAGCTGGCGCGTGACTGGCAGATACGGGCTGTCCGTGCTTTTCATCCGGCACCTTTCATTCACAGGATTTAAAAGAATGAAAAGAGCTCTCTGAGAGAAAGCAGCCAGGGCAGCTGGTGCACAAGAAAAGCAGCTTTCTATCCAGAGGGGAGGCTGCTGAATGCACGCTCCCTCCACGCCAGCTACAGGCGCCTTTCCCATGCTCCGTCCAAGCCTTCTCCTGTTACAGCACCAGGAGGACCCGCTGGGAGACGGGGGGCTGGGGGTGGAGTGGGGGCTTGGGGCTGGGCCTGCACCCACAGAGCCAGAGAAAAGCCTGGACTAGCAAAAGGCTATTTAGTGCCGGTATCTGCCCTCTCTGGCTCAGCTGATCTTTCCAACTGAATGAGTTTCAACCCACATTGAGGAGGATTAGCAGACGGTCCCAGAGCCCAAGCCTGCCCCTGTAAGAATGCCAGCCTGGGGAGCAGTGTCGAATCCTTCCCCTCTGTAACTACCTGCGCAGTGCCCAGAGGGGTCCCATCCTGCCGGGGGGCTGCTTGCCCCTCAGAGCACACCAACAGCTCATCCCAGGTGCTCACTAGAGCCGTGCCTTTCTGCTTACTTAGGAAAGACTCTTGCAGGGTCTCCCTCCAGCCCTGGTTTAATCCCCCCTTTTCTTTATTTATGCCCCCAGAAGCTTCCCTACATGCAGGCTATCCTTCTCCTGCACTGAGACCCTCAGTTGGTGTCCTAGCCCCCACACGGCTTCACCACAGTTGCTTACTTTAAGAGGAGACTTTTGCACTGAGGTGCAAAACGCATAGCTGTCAACACCACTGTTGCTACCGAGCAACTGAGGGAATGTGCACACTTATGTCAGCAGGTGACAGGCTTTGGCTGCTGCTCGTGAAGCCAGGGCCTGGCCCTCCACAGTGACATGAATTCGGCTAAGCAAGCACAGCACCCCACACCTTGGGGAAGGGGGTCAGTGATGGCCACGGCTGTGCATGGCTGCCTGGCACTCTGCAACCCACACCACACACCGAGCTGAGCTATCTTCCCCAGCCTGGCAGGTCTGAAGGGCTGGGGCACCACTTCTCTATGGAAAGGTGGACTGGAGAGTGTCACCAGCTCCCCCTCTCCAGCCACAGCCTCACTAGGTGACACAGGTGTGAGTCAGGACACACAGAAGCCACGGCTCTCAGGCGGAAGCTGAGGGGGAAGCAGAAAGCCTCTGGCTTCCTGGCAAGAAGATGCCCTAAGGGAGAAGGCCCACATGCAAGAGCTCCTGCAAAGCTGGGACTTCAGCTGCCACCCTGGCGCTTTGGCACTCACTTTCCCCCACTCTTCTCCACACACTACCTGAGGTATCAGGTTCTTGTGGATCCTCTTCAGCTTGGCACGCTTCCTCCCATTCTTGGTAACGATTGTCTCCTCGTAGAACTCGTGGGCGAGATCCCCGTCCTCATCGTAATACATGGAGCTGCCGGGAGGAGAGGGGAGGCGGCTAGGTAAGAGCTTGCCGGCAGCTGCCGGCTTCCGTGCCC